GAGAGCAATAATTCTAGGGCCAGTATTTTGGGGTATCTCTAAATTGATGACCTGTGGGGGCTTTTAAAGTGTCTTTTATTGACTTTTTGGGGTACTGCAGTTTTTCGCCGTTTCACGGTCGCACGCAATCTGTAAACTGGGCATGTTGGGTATCGTTTTATTCGTTGTAACCTCATCTTTTATATTTCATTAAAAAAATGGGTAATTTGTTGTGTTTTGGGGCATTTAATTAAATTTGTCACTAAATTTTGGGGTTTAATAAGGAGTTGCGCTAATATTGCGCAACATAAAAATGTTCAACTACCACCATTTTATTCTATAGGGTCTTGGCATTCAGAAAATATATAATGTTGGGGGGTTTTACGTCATTTTCAGGCCTAAAATGTGGAATATAACATGGGTGCAAAAATGGAAAAAAGGGCCTCAGTCATGAAGGGGTTAAAGTTTACAAATATTTATTATTTGTTAACCCAGTACAATTTTATATTTTATATTTAGTAATAATTTTGTATTCATTTATTAACATATTTTATTATAAATATAGATTAGAAAATGAGATGTACAAATTTAATAGAACTATCTTTTAACACAGGTTCTGAGCTTATGGTTTGGGGGGGTCTTTTAATAAATGTTTAAAACCCTAAGTGAAAAACTATAAAAACTTGCAATAAAACATGAAAAATAGTAAAATTGGTTCAGCCACCTGGGAGGTGTAAACTAGGAGACAGGGTCTTACAATTAAGACCCCATTCACACCAGGGCGATAGCGTTTCAGCACTGTTTTGCGTGCTTTTTTTTTATGCGCGTTTCTGTGCATTTTACAAGAGTTTTCTGTTCAGATGGAGATGCTGGGTCACAAATGACACAATCATGTAAATCTTGGGACCTGTGAAGATCTTGGCTACGTTCACAAAAGTCAGCACCCTGCTGCAGTCTCTGACCTTGCTACAAACTGACCGTCTGATCACTAGGAGATTTTTGAAAAATGATACAGTTGCTGTATGCCGTGATATATCAGGAAAGCAAACTTGCTTAATTACTGAAAGCTCCGCTTTAATTCCACAATGATAGATTTGTAATTTTTTTTTTTTAATGGAAGTAGATTTCTGGCTACAATATTACATTCCATGTAGTTGAACAACAAGGATGATCCTCCTTTCAACTAGTGAAATGTTTTGGTTTTTTTTGCCCTTGTGTAGCAGGAGCAAAAGTTTAATAGCAGAGTTATAGGATTGGCTGTAGTGGTGCTGTTGATGCCATGAAGAAGCGGTTGCAATAAATGGGGTGGTAAATGGTGGGATGCAGCAAGGAACAAAGGCAGAATGGGTAATTTTGCTCTAAATTGAAGCCACTAATCATGTAAACAATGGAATGACCAGGGCTTGAAAAATCCGGAGCCTGACGAGTAGCTCCTCTCCGGTCCCCGAATGCAGGAAGTGATGTATATTACATCACTTCCGCATTCAGCTGTCACTCTCCAGCTTCAGAAGCTGGTGAAGCAGATCTCTGCTTCATCAGCTTCTCTGTGGGTCCATAGGTGAAATTAGGGGTCTTGGGGACCCCTGATGTCTACATGAAGAGGACTGGTCATGTAAATTGGCTATCACATAGAGTACTTCTTGGCCCTTCTATGTGATAGCAATAAAAAGTGTAAAAAAAATTAAAAAGAGTGATAAAAAAAATTAAAAGAAGCATAAAAAAAACCCCACTAAATTTTTAAGTCCACTGCCCCCCACATACACACGCAAACATGCGGCGGGTGAGCCTACATGTGAAAACGATGATTGCACCTATTGTGCTGCACATGTCACATATCCCCGCAAACATTGGAGTGCGAGCAATAATTTTAGGGCCAGTAATCACTGATAACACTAAACTGATATAAGCAGAAAAAGCTTTTAAAGCGTCGCCTATGGCCAATTTTCAGTTTGGTCGTTTTTTGCGGGTGTGCGCAATTTTAAGGCTTGACATGTTTGGTGTCTATTTACCTGACATGACCCCGTCTTTTATATTTTACCAAAAATATGGGTAAGAATAAATGTTTAACATAACGTAGGGAAAACATTTTTTTTCGAAATTTACGGTACTTTTTTTCATTATATAGTAAAAAATAAAATGATTTTATACCACCAGAAGAAAGCTCTATCTGTCCCTAAATATGTTAACATAAATTGAAAGGAGTCCGGTCATGCTGACTGGTGAGAAACTAATATTTTTCAGGCCCTGGCCATGACACATAATACCGGGCCAAACCCCTGCAGATGAACTACCTTTTCTTGCTCTTCCTTGGAGAATTCAACATCCTTCTGCATAATCTCATGGAGACGAGCCTTCACTTTCTGTTGACAGCTGCTCAGGGAGTCACTGTCACTGTCCAGGAGTCCATTCATGTTTGCGCTCTTGACCATCTGAACCAAGATTGGGGTAAGCTCACCTTCCAGTGCTAAGAGGCCCTGTAACCATTTGCAGTATTAACAACTCCATCACATGTTTAAACCCGACTCTGTACACAACACAGAACCTACATAATAATTGGTTTAAGAAATGCCTAACAATACTATTAAAAACAAATTAAAAAGTTATGAAGAATAAAACATTTCTATTAATAACACATTAATAACACAATAAAAAAACGATTTGTACACAAACCTGCGTATGCAGATGAAAAGGCAGAACACCTACAACTAAAATCTTAATTAAAAAAACAGCTTGTTACATCTCTTGGGCTTTGAGTGGGAAATTTTCTGCATCCCAACTCCACTTAATACCTGCAATCCTGAGGATTGGATTTTTTTTTTAAATTAAAAGAATGGTGGACAGGGTTGTAGAATAATTGAGATTTCATGAAAATAAAAACAAAAATGATATTGTGGAAATATGTCAATTCTGCTGGTCAACTGCAATTGTTAGCTATGCATTGCTACACTTATGAATTTGAACTCACAGACATATAAACTCTTTATTAAACAAGTCCATTTACAGTATTAACTAGTTCTTTACAGTGCTCTTAACCTGAGAACTATAGTTCAGAAGACTGATTGGTTTTGGTCATTTTCAAGTTGGATATAAAGTGGTCAGGCACACTGCAGCACACTCTACCTTCTTCCCTAGTATTATAATTCAGGTTGTATATGAAGTTATGTTTATTATTTTATATATGCGTTTTTACAGAGCAAACTAAACCATCTATACAAGTCCCTTAACCCAAATGTTAGTTGCTTGGCTGTCATAATGACCCTGTAATTTTTTTAAATTTGTAGTCATTTACCAAAATCAAGAATAAAGGTAAAGTATTTTGATTTCACATTGCCTTCTCTTGTGCACACATCTTTCTGCTCTGATACTAAAGCCAAATTCAGCAAAGCATCAAACATTTTCAAAAGGAGGTCAGCAATAGCAGCCTCAATTTTTATCTATGTACATGTTTCATTACACATATTAAACTGATGCAGCACTATATGGCTAAATGTTTGTGGACACCTGACCAGCACACCTAAAAGAGCTTGTTGGACATCCCATACCAAAACCATGGGCCTTGGACAATAATATGGAGTTCACATCCCCCCAAGCTCACAATTCTCTCAAACATGTTCAACAGGGTTAAGGTTAGGGCTGTATGCAGGTCACTTGAGTTCCTCCACACCAAGCCAGTCAAACCATGTCTTTTTAGACCTGGCTTTGTGCAGCACAGAAATCCTTTAATAGAAAAGCATCTGCCACAAACTATTGCCACAGTTGGAAGTGCATAGTTGTCTAAAATGTCTTTGAATGCTGCAACATTAACAGTATACTTCACTTGAAACACCTAAAACCAATCATTTTGAAGGATGTTTACAAACTTTTGGCCATTTAGTGAATGATCAATAAATGATATGTCGTTTGCGGGTAATGACCCTATACCTACACACACTAGCTTCTATAGTAATATATTTAACACATATACTGATGCGTCTGATGTTCTAGTACCATCTAAACATATTGGGGTTGATTTACTTATCAAGGGGATTTTCACTTAACTTGGTGCATGTGATGAAAATTCCCTTTGCATCATGTGCAAGGAAAAAAAACCCAGCATTTTTGCCTGCACATGATTGGATGATTGAAGTGTGCAGAGCTTTACCTTCACTTAGCTAAGAGAAAATTCCCTTGTAAAGAGAAAATTCACTTTTAAGTGCACATCCTACACTTCTTTAATAAATCAACCCGATTATGTCAAATGTCCATTAGAAGTGGAAGTTACGTGACTTTTTATAACTTTTTTTATTGGCAGTATAAGCACCTTTGCAAAAGCTGCAGCAGTCATCTGTACACGACCCTCATCTGATGCATAAATCTTCAGATCATGACGGTAGGTGCTGTGCAGTCGCAGAAGTCCACAGCCTGGAAACCCTGCATAATCTCCTGCAATTTATTGGGAAAGTCAAAATCAGTCAAAATCAGTCAAAATAACAAAAATCAGCTAATAGCATTTTAATATTAAGCAAAGTTACAGAGTTAGTTTAAATAAACCAGTCATACTGCTCTAAAGCCAAGCAGTATTAATTGAAAGCAGTAGAATTGAAAATCGTTCTATTAAACAACTCTGTAGAAGTACTGGAAATACATTTTTATGCCAATTTATTGACATTTATAAAATGGTGAACATTTCTAAGCATGGTCATGGAATGAATTTGAGACAAGACCATTCAGGAGCCTCCCTTATGTTCAAGCACACATCCAACCAGAAAATACTATACAAATATTACTTGGTCTGGGAAATCCCCCAAATAGAGTTGCAGGCTGATAAAGAGTAATATGGGTTTTCCAATATATCATGTTGTTTCACAAATCTAATAATGGCGTGAGGGGATAAATATGATGTTAGGATGTTAAAAAAAAAAAACAGCTAAATGTTTGAGGGTCTTCAAGGATAACTCCACCTAAAGCTAAAACCACTGCTCTTGAGAAGGAACAAAGGGTTAAAACAATACTTTAAAGTAGCATTAAATGCTACTTTAAATGCTACCTTAAATGTTTTTGCATATATCTACTGCTTGCTAGCAGTAGATATATGCAAAAATCCCTGAGGGTTTAATGATACTTTAAATGATGTGATGTAAAATGGATCACTAGCTGGGTTTGTCAATCTATAATTTAAAGTTCAAAAACGATTACCAAGCCAACTAATGAAATAAATAAGTAGGCTCAAGGAGAAATCAAGAGGATTTCAAAAGACTTTAAGGCCCCACATACTGTCATGGAAGATATGTTTAGGTCCCACACATTGAAATTACAATTCTGGCCATAAAGGAAACGATCAACAAGTATCTGAGAAATGTTCTATTTTTTTCCCACACAGCTTGGAAAATTACATTTTGGAAACCGATTGGTTGCACTTAAAGGGTTTCTAAACCCTCAGCTTTTTTTTGCATATATCTACTGCCAGCAAGCAGTAGATATATGCAAAAAGTTTTGTTTGTTTTTTAAACCGCTTTAACAGCAGTTTAAACATACCAGTGTCGTCCCTGTGCGCTCCTGTCCGAAAATGTGAAAATTCTCCGGCGGCCACAAAGCATCTTGGGGCGGGCGCATGCGCAGTTCACATTTTCGGCCGGGACGCGAGGAGAGACACAAGGTAAGTCTATGGACGCGTGCACCCGCATGCAGACACAGTGGGACAGGAAGTGCCAGCAAGCTCAGAGGAGTCAGCGCTGGATCGGAGACCAATGTCAAATCAACTAACCAGGATGTAGCCAAAACAAAAATATACAATATGTAAAAAAAATAATGATTGATTTGAAGCAATTTAATATTATTGTTATTGAATTTGTTGTCAATCAGGACAGCCTGAAAACAGCTAGTTGCTTCTGCTCTCTACCCCACTGGTTCCCTTCTCAAACATATTGGCACAATATCTTTTAACCTGATCATCTTTTGTGCAGATAACCTAGATAAAAAAACTGGGTGCTTGACTTTGCATGCTTATATAGTGAATACTGGTAGAAAAGCAGAACTCTGATTCCTGTGATATTTAGAAAGAATCCCATGAGCAATTAATTCACTTAGTCATACCTTATAGGACATTTTATTATTATTATGGATGAATAAGAAGTCAAAAAACAAATACATTGAAAAGTTTTAAGTGTTGCATAACAGTGTTAGACATACAGGGGGTACAAAACATTTCTTTAAAGGCACACCATTAGTTTTTTTTTCTTGTGCAAAGGGTTCATACACATTCAAGTAGTATTCGTGTGTCTGTTACCATTATACCATGTGTACTTGTTCCAAGACAGCAGTTTAGAATGTACTTATGCCGGTTAGCATGGCCACTACCAAATTACAGAGGAGCTCAGTAACAGCTGCCTCTGAATATCTCTCAGTATATGTTACCCTTCATAAAGTTTGAAAGGAAAGCAGGTGCCACTGTCCCAAAATAACCAGAATTCAATGCAATTACAAAAGTACAAAATAATGGGGAAGCACACTAAAGCTTGATTAGCAGATACTTCCCCACAAGTTTTCCCTCCATTGTTTATAAACTAGTCCAGCAATAGTGTGGAATTTTGGGTGGGACAGTACGACTGGGTTCTTGACAGTAAGATCAACCTAGGAATCAATGCCGCCTATAGATAATCTTTCATTGCAACACTCATTTATGGTAACTATACCTGTTTATTTATAATTAGAAATGAGATATCTATGTATAATTTTAACCAAGCCTTCAATACTCTCTAGTCCCCGCCCCGCCCCCCGGTTGTGGGGAAGAGGCCCCTGTCCTCATCAACATGGGAACATGGTGCTTTGCCAGGGGATTCCCCCTGGTGAAGCACCCTCCCCATTTTGACGGCCTGTGGTCTGGTATGGTGCAGGGGGCGCATGATCATCCTTCCCTTTTCTGCTCTGCAAGGCTGCTGCTCAGGTCAAGGGTCTGGTAAGGGAATTCCTACCAGACCTACAAGGGGGAGAGGGAACACCACAGTGGGGTTTTTTTCGTTTTTTTATTTTCACATTAACAACACTGTTAATACGGAATAGCCTTTTGAAGCATCCAAATTTTCGTTATCAAAAAATTTAGATACGTTGGAATTCATTATTGTTTCCATTCGTAAGCAGCCGAGTGTCCGAATTTCAATTTAGAACGAAACTTGCATGTCTAGTCTGTACCAAATAACTAGAATCAAAGCAAAACAATCTTTTGGAAGCATTTGACATGCTTTGCATGCAGGTAAAATTCCACCTTGTAGAACATGCTGCATTCAAAGAAACGTAGTGCAGCACAAAGGAGTGCAAACATGGCCCTTAAACTGTGTTCAACTCCATTCAAATCAATTGCAAATTGCTCCCCTGCATCTGATGTTCATTTAAAACGCACATGAAATACAGGAAAACAATGACTATTGACCTAATTGAATGCAGCAGGGAGTTGTAATTTCATCCATTGAATTCTAGAAATTACGTGACATCTTGCAGTGTCAATACTTCTGATTTATGAAGCAATGACCCATGGAGCTGCTGGTAAAACCATAGCCAAAATTGCACAAGTTCATAAGACTCTAAACATTTATACTGCCAACTACAGATGCTGAAGGGTTCCTGCAGGCTCTGGAGTTTAGATGAGTACAATAGATGATTGGTTTATAAATCGTGGGTTGCATCCCTGTGGGCTCTTAATTAACACCTCTCCCCCTAAGATAAGTGCATTCAGAAAAAATAGTAGAAAATAATAGGGTTTCTGGAGGGGTGTAATGGACCATCCAAGAGAGATTTGCTAAAAGTATATCGGATTTTATTTTGTGATTTGTATAAAATAAAAAATCAATGCATTTCATAGATCAATCAAAACCCTGAATGGGATTTGTTTGTATAAATATAATCACTTAATTGGTACATACATATTGATAAGGTCCAAATATTCTAATATAACTTAATGTTGGTGACAGATTTAACAACAACATAAATGCCCCTATATTGGCTTAACTTAAGAGGTCCCGACGCGTTTAGACAGTGGCTTCATCAGGGGACCCAAAGTGGATCATGCAGGGTTGGTCTACGGGTTAAGAGAGATACCTGAAGAATCGAGAGCGCGGACGCTAGGTGGCCCCACCACCACCTCCACGTTCTCCTTTATTGTCACACCTGGGACCTCAGGGTTATATAAAGAGAGATGGCATCCCTTCGTGCAGCCAGCTTCACTGGGGTGCTTTCTCAGAATATGAGGTACGTTGTGACTGTTTTTTTTTTTTCTTTTGTTGTTAAACTCAATAAATATTCATTTGAGGAAATGAGGTACGTTGGGAGGAGGCTTGGCTAGATATTATTATAGTCCTATTAGGTCTCCCTGGTGGTGTAGGGCTAGCTGCATGCCTCCATAGTGATCTCCGCTGCGGAGATCACTATGGAGGCATGCAGCTAGCCCTACACCACCAGGGAGACTTAATAGGACTATCACTATGGATCCTTGCAGCGGAGATCACTATGGAGGCATGCAGCTAGCCCTACACCACCAGGGAGACTTAATAGGACTATAATAATATCTAGCCAGGTCTACTCCCAACGTACCTCATTTTCTGAGAAAGCACCCCAGTGAAGCTGGCTGGACAAAGGGATGCCATCTCTCTTTATATAACCCTGAGGTCCCAGGTGTGACAATAAAGGAGAACGTGGAGGTGGTGGTGGGGCCACCTAGCGTCCACGCTCTCGATTCTTCAGGTATCTCCCTTACCCCGTAGACCAACCCTGCATGATCCACTTTGGGTCCCCTGATGAAGCCACTGGCGAAACGCGTCGGGACCTCTTAAGTTAAGCCAATATAGGGGCATTTATGTTGTTGTTAAATCTGTCACCAACATTAAGTTATATTAGAATATTTGGACCTTATCAATATGTATGTACCAATTAAGTGATTATATTTATACAAACAAATCCCATTCAGGGTTTTGATTGATCTATGAAATGCATTGATTTTTTATTTTATACAAATCACAAAATAAAATCCGATATACTTTTAGCAAATCTCTCTTGGGTGGTCCATTACACCCCTCCAGAAACCCTATTATTTTATACTATTTTTTGTGAGTACAATAGATGGATTAGGTTATCCATCTATATATATCTATATATAGATGTATCTATATATAGATATATATACACACTGTATATAAAGAAAGATTTCAAAAATGTTTAGTATTGCTTACAGCATAATACAAACATCTTATTGATTGTTATGAGCTAAACCATCTTTTTGTTAGTTAATTGTTGCAGGGTAGTTATGATTATAACCCTCAGGGCCTTGTTTTAGTCAGAAGGGAAGAGGATTGTCCCAATGTAGTTATGGGAACAGTGCAATTCACACTACAGTCATGGCTCTTACCACAGTCTACAGGAGAGCTACAGCCCAAAGCCGGGATTTTACCATCCACTAGAATGACAGGTTGACACAACAGAGAGGACAGAGGGTTAACTAGGGCCAAAGGCATTTTATAAGCACAGAGGACAGGTTACAAGAGGAAAGTGAATTATATTTACATAGCATACAGAGAATGGGTCTGTGGTAGACACACAAAAGCAGTGTTGAGCTACGTACACACTGAAGTTAAAATCAAGCATTTAACAAGTGCATCTGATGCTCAGCACATACAGTATCTCCCAGAAGTGAGTACACCCCTCACATTTTTGTAAATATTTTATTATATCATTTCATGTGACGACACTGAAGAAATGACACTTTGCTACTATGTAAATAGTGAGTGTACAGCTTGTATATCAGTGTACATTTGCTGTCCCCTCAAAATAACTCAACACACAGCCATTAATGTCTAAACCGCTGGCAACAAAAGTGAGTACACCCCTAAGTGAAAATGTCCAAATTGGGTCCAATTAGCCATTTCCCTACCCGGTGTCATGTGACTGGTTAGTGTTACAAGGTCTCAGGTGTGAAATTTGGTGTTATCGCTCTCACTCTCTCATACTGGTCACTGGAAGTTCAACATGGCACCTCATGGCAAAGAACTCTCTGAGGATCTGAAAAAAATAATTGTTGCTCTACATAAAGATGGCCTAGGCTATAAGAAGATTGCCAAGACCCTGAAACTGAGCTGCAGCACGGTGGCCAAGACCATACAGCGGTTTAACAAGACAGGTTCCACTCAGAACAGGCCTCGCCATGGTCTACCAAAGAAGTTGAGTGCAGCATTGCTGCAGAGGTTGAAGGGGTGGGGGGGTCAGCCTGTCAGTGCTCAGACCATACGCCGCATACTGCATCAAATTGGTCTGCATTGCTGTTGTCCTAGAAGGAAGCCTCTTCTAAAGATGATGCACAAGAAAGCCCGCAAACAGTTTGCTAAAGACAAGCAGACTAAGGACATGGATTATTGGAACCATGTCCTGTGGTCTGATGAGACCAAGATAAACTTATTTGGTTCAGGTGGTGTCAAGCGTGTGTGGCGGCAACCACGTGAGGAGTACAAAGACAAGTTCCTACAGTCAAGCATGGTGGTGGGAGTGTCATGGTCTGGGGCTGCATGAGTGCTGCCGCCACTGGGGAGCTACAGTTCATTGAGGAAACCATGAATGCCAACATGTACTGTGACATACTGAAGCAGAGCATGATCCCCCTCCCTTTGGAGACTGGGCCTCAGGGCAGTATTCCAACATGATAACGACCCCAAACACACCTCCAAGACGACCACTGCCTTGCTAAAGAAGCTGAGGGTAAAGGTGATGGACTGGCCAAGCATGTCTCCAGGCCTAAACCCTATTGAGCATCTGTGGGGCATCCTCAAACGGAAGGTGGAGGAGCGCAAGGTCTCGAACATCCACCAGCTCCGTGAGGTCTTCATGGAAGAGGACTCCAGTGGCAACCTGTGAAGGTCTGGTGAACTCCATGCCCAAGAGGGTTAAGGCAGTGCTGGAAAATAATGGTGGACACACAAAATATTGACACTTTGGATCCAATTTGGACATATTCACTTAGGGGTGTACTCACTTTTGTTGCCAGCGGTTTAGGCCTTAATGGCTGTGTGTTGAGTTATTTTGAGGGGCAGCAAATGTACACTGATATACAAGCTGTACACTCACTACTTTACATTGTAGTAAAGTGTATTTTCTTCTGTGTCGTCACATGAAATGATATAATAAAATATTTACAAAAATGTGAGGGGTGTACTCACTTCCGTGAGATACTGTATGTACACTAGGTATGTCAGTTAATATGAGCATTCAAAAAACTGACTGAAGATTTGGTGTATATTTATAAAGCAGTGACTCTGACATTCACTGCATGTTAATCTTTTAGGTGCATGTGTTTTAAATGACAGTGATTGATTCACATCCAGTAAATATTTGGTGAAAGTCACATTCACTGCATTATAAATAGTACATTAAAATGAAAAGCAGCGTTCAGCAGAAATGGAAGCATGTTAAAACTCCAAGTGGCCTCCATGATAACAGTCCTTTTAAAAATGTGTTGCATTTTTGCTGGCTTAGTGCTTTTTGAAAGGTACTCTTAAAAAGGAGAACTATGAGGTGAGTGCTTTTCACTCACCTCATAGTTCTAGCCGACTTGTGACAATGAGAATGTCACAGGTCGGCTCAGTAGATCGGGAGGTGAGTGAACACATACCGGCGTTCGCTCACCTCCCGATCCTGTCACGGCTCTCTGCCGTGACAGGGGAGGGGCTGGATTCCCCCCTCCCCCGCTCCGATCCTCCAGCGCTGACCGGCGGAACGGACGTGGGAGGGGGCGGGTTCAGCTGGCTCTGGCTCTAGATAGGCAGAGCCAGCTGTCAGTCACGCAGCTGGGCGAATCCTGGCACAATTGTCAGGATCCGCTTCAGCCGCGGCGTCTCAGTATACCGCGAGCTACAGCTCGCAGTATACTGAGCCTAGGGTGACGGGAGGACGCTAGTTTGTGTCCTCCCGTTACCCTAAGGAGATCCATGGGGAAAAGACTTAACCCCATAGTTCTCCTTTAAGCTTTGGAATACAAATCTGCATTTATTAAACCTGTTTTCCCGTGTGCACCTACGTTACACAAGTACAATTTAAATGTTGCACTTGGAAAGGCATGGTGGGGAGCAGAAACTTTGACAGTCAAAGACAAAAAGGGAAGTGGAACAGAAGAATATGTAAAAATAAAACCTACCTTGCCCTCCAGGGTACATACAGCGGAAAGCCCGTCCTAGCTCTTCTGCTTGCACTCGCCCAGCCGGTGTCAGTTCCCCACCCCATTTCAAGACTAGCAGTAGAGATGGAGAATCCTTCCGGGCATCTGTGAAGACATTACATTTTTACACCCCTTACATCCAAAAGTTGCTGCACACATAAAACCTCTTCATAACATGCAGATCAGTGGTTTACATAACAAAACCTTCGCCGTCTTACCTTCATCCTCACTGGATGGTTTTGGATGACCATGGGGCAAATATGTCAGCTGCACTTTCCTATTAATGCCAGAGAAATGGCCATACCTGCATAAAAAAAAAATAAAATCACAATTTTTCTTTTTAATTCAGACCAAAATATGGGCAAGACACAGAACCACATCACTCGCATACAAAACAACTGTCAAATAAACCCTTTAATTAATAAAACCTAAATGTATTATTTACCTGTATAAAAAAAATACATCATACACTGAGTGAGCGGATTATTGTTAACAAAAGTAATCATAATTCCAATGCACAGCCTGTCTGATCTTGAAATCAAATGCAGTCAACAAATCCACCAGAGGGCGCAAAGTGACTAAATAACAGGCAAAAGTGGTGAAATAAAATCTAAGTAATAAAATATGTATTCACAAAAAAATAAATAGTACAGCAGTGCATGATTTACTGAATTAGGGCTGCTGCTGTGGTTTGTAACGTCATAACCTGTACTAATTTCTCCACTGGCAAATATGTTGGTCACTATAATCAATAAGAGTTTCATTGAATGAAAAAGTTATGGACTATAACAAACCATCATTTAAACCAAGTAACCCATTTAATAAAAAAAAAAAGGAAGGTCATAGTGTTGTGCTTTGTTAGTTAATCTCAGGAGACATATTAGGGTGAATGAAATTAAAGCGACAATAAATTCTGTAGTTACTGTAAATCTTAAAAATGCATTCAAGTACCTTAACTATTAACAATACTGTCCCTTATTTGTGTATCACTCAGCTGTAGATCCTCAAATCATCTCTGAATTCATGTTGACACTGTCCTTCCTTCTGGACGGTGGCTACTTTTGTTCCCCATGGTCCCTGTGTGTGTTGTAAAGTAGCCACCACTCCAAGCTTGCTCCTGTGATGGACTACAATCTCATGTTTAGTTTACTAATTTGTACTGAGATTGTATTCCATCACAGGAGCAGGCTTGTTAATTCCATCACAGGATCTACAGCTAAGTGATACACAAATGAGCTACATTTTTGTTAAAAGAACTATGGGGTAACCTTTTTAGTCCATAGTTCTCTTTAGGGTCATGGGAGGACATATACTAACCTCCTCCCGTGACCTAATGCTCAGTATATAGCCGGCTGTTGCCCGCGATATACTGAGAGCACCGCAGCCGGGATGGATCCCAATAATACTGTTTGGATTCACCCAGCTGCTGACTGACAGCTTGCTCTGCCTGTGTAGAGGCAGAGCCAGCTGTGTCCACCCACTCCCCTGTCCGTTCCTCCAGTCAGCGCTGGAGGATCAGAGAGGGGGGAATCCCTGCATGGAGTAGTGACTGACAGTCATTGCTCTCGGCAGGGAGACGATTGGGAAGTGAGTGGACGGTATGAGTTCGCTCACTTCCCCATCTATAGAGTCGACGTGTGTGACAGTTTCAATGTCACACGTCAACTCTAACTATGAGGATGAGTGGAAATCACTTACCTCATAGTTCTCCTGCATTTTTAAGGCTGGGTTCACACTTGGGCGTTCGTAAAATGCCTGTTTGACGCACGTTTTTACCGCGATTTGCAATCAACAAAACGCGCAGCAAACGCGCGTTTACGAGGGCTATCGCAGGGCGTTTTTTACGCGCGTTCCTACACGCTGAAATACGCCCAGGTGGGAACCATGCCCATATGAAATAATGGGATTTCACTTGCTGGGCGTTTTACAGCGCGTCGATCAGTGCTGTAAAACGCCCAGGTGTGAACCAGGCCTAAGATTCAATACCCAAGTTTAGTGTCACTTTAAAAAATAGCAGAGGCTAAAGGTGGATAGATAGCAATATGGATGCGATGAATATAAAGCTACAAAAGAAACAAATGCTGACAGACAGGCCTGCAATCCCCAAGTCCATAAAGTCACAAAGCATACATATCATTTTTTCTTCTGTAATCAAGATCTGGGGGTATTTGTTCCACTTACATTTCCAAGACCGTTTTCAGTTGTTCAAGCTTGGATTTCCTCTCTTCAATCTCACAGTCACTGTGCGTTCCAAGTTCTGATAGCAGCAGTCTTGCTATGTCAAGCACTTCCTGCTCAAAATCATCCAGGAATGCAGTTTTTAAACAACCATTTTCTCTGTAAAACGTTCTATCCTATCCTTGCGTTAAGTATACTTAAAACCTAGACACAGAGACATTTAACCAATTTGGATATGTTCTGATCCTGCCTATATGGAAACCATTGCTTCCGCTTAGTAGGGTTTGTATAGGAAAGTTACAGAGAACCTTTAAAGTGTACTTAAACTCAAAAACAAATACTGAATACATTGAACTTTACCAGTTCTTACATGTGGTGGCTGCATTCGTTTTCTTTATTTGCAGTCTTTTTTTTTTTTCTATAGATGTACCTAGTAATCCTGCGAAATAACACTTCCTGCCCTAGAGTGGCTACGTTCACTCACTCCATTGTATCTATGGATGGATCCATGGGATGTCACACAAGCTGGTCTTCCTCTCTTCATCTCCTTTACATAGGAGGTGGGGGGATTAGTAGGTTTACAAAAGGGAAAAGTTTTCCTTTTCAGTTCAGCTCACAGAAAGTGACAAGGACACTTAATTTCTGGCTAGATCAACAGGTATTTTCTGTACTTGCTGAAAATGTTCTTAGCCTGAAAACGAATACTGACATCACATTAAGGACTCGTAAGCTGCAAAATATTACATTGTTGTTCTTGAGTTTGGATATACTTTAAAGCTATCAGGAAGTTGGGCCAAAAGGAAGCAAAATGCCCTTAAGTATAAATACATTAATGAAGTCTTAAAACAATGTATTTATTCTTGTCTTTGCTTATGTACTAACCTACTCAGAAGGAAATCATGTTCAAAAAATTTGTTTAAAATAAATTATACAGTATTTATATTGTTCATTTCTAATATTAATAATAATGTAATTTCTCATTTAGAGTAGAAGTGGCTATGGTCACTCATATTCTTAACAAGCAGTATAAAAGCATTTCTCATCGTGCAGTTGCCCACAGTAGCATGGAATGCAGTGCATGTCTTTGCCAGCTATACTTAAATGAAGCATAAACTTGCTTTTCTTCCAAGGATTTAACAGGAAGCATTACTATGTAAAAACATTGTTTTTGTTACAATATTTTTTTAAGCAAATTACTTTTTTGGTCTCATTTGGCCTACCTCACCATCATTTAGAGCAGTGGTTCTCAACCTGTGTGACCTCAGGACCCACATTTGTCCTTGGTCATTAAGTCGTGACCCAAGTCACGTGGAATGCACGGCATTGCGGTTCTGCGCATTCCTAAATACACACTCCCCAAAAAATACTTTTTTTATTCGCATTTTAAGATCCACCCAGTCTCCCTAATTTACGAGAACTGGAGTGGATCCTCAGCCTGGGGTCCAGTGTGGGCTGCTGTGCTGTGACCGAGCTTCATCCATATGTGTATTGCTTGTACAGCTCCCTTGCACACCCTGTAGAGGTGTCTGGAGCCAGAACGTGATGTCACTCCAGTCCAGGCACCTCTACAGGACACATGAGGGGGAGCTGTAAGCAATGCATGTATGGGTGGAGCTCCCTCGTGGCCATAGCCCCATCCCACCTCAAGCTGACGCTCGGCACTGGGCAGCATATTTTGAATGGCTGCTTGGCGTGAGAGCTGACAGTGCTGCGCTAGGGGGAGGCTGAGGAGTCACTCACCTAGAAAAGTGGAAGGCATCCGGTGACCCACTGAACATGGGGTCGCGACCCACTTTTGGGTCACGACCCACCAGTTGAGAACCACTGATTTAGAGCTTGTTCTCTAACATATGACAGTTACATGGATGTCTCTCACCAAAACTAAACTAAGAAGCAATACAATTCAGTGTGATTTAGATTTTAGAACTTTTCATTCACAAAAAATTACCTGTAGTTGTTCTGGCTTCTTTAGTTTCAGCTTTCCTGTTTTATAGCCATCATAATGTTCAAATAACTCAAAGAACCTATATATAAAAATAAATTATTCAAATTTACTTTTACTGTCTTGCAAAAATAACAAATAAAATAACAAATAAAATTCCAAGTTATATTCTTTCTATAATATATGGCAAAAACATCCAATGCTTTAAAGACTTTCTAAAAAGTTTACTTCTTTTCATGTTATCAAGGACTCTTTAGCTTTCTCCGAATACGTTCCTATAGTCATAACCTTATTATTTCAGCAAAGGAATACTGGCTTTTGAGATAAACAAGAAAATATAAAAGGAGGTTTTTCTCACATTTGGAAGGAAAGAAAAAAGAAGCAAATAAAAGTATAGCTCTCTTCTAAACTTGCTATTTCTACCTTGGATGTCGAACCTCCATCTTCATTTTCTGCTTTGGGGTGCGGTCTCCATGCCGGATAATCGCTATTACACATCGCAACTCCATCCTGGGATAATGCAAAATAACATAATTTTATGTGCATGAAATAAAACACACGTATGTTTACATAAATGCTCGTTTGGTAGACTCACACAGACACACATATACTAATATAGATCGATAGATCGATATCTATCTATCTATATCTATAGATATATCTATCTATCTAGATATACACACACGAGTACATATATAGACACACACTAAAGTACACAAATACAATACAAATGCTATAGTATATTAAACATATGATAGCAAATTAAGCCTGCTTAGCACCTACACTGTTACCATAGAACATGGCCTTATTGAAACGGAAAATAAACCATGAATGTGCTTGTGAACTAGAGTAACTATTAACATATCTGCCAATGCCAGAGCCTATTACCTCTGCCTTTTCTTTCCTTTGAGAGCTGTCACCATAAACCCAGGCCAGTGTACATCTTCATTCTTCCGGGCTGTAATGCTTATCCTTCCTTTATGACTTGCTGAATTACTGACTTGGAATTTGGGCACTTCACGTAGATATGTTTTCCAGGTCAGTCACTCACCAAGTAGTGAGTATAGATAGAGATAAAGACACCAAAGGATGTAGCTCCAAAGACATGCCAATAATTGCAACTTCCATAGGTTTACCCTATCAGGCTCCCTTAAAGGAAAAGTGTATTTTCTGTGACAACATTCTAAATTATTACTTTAATTATATTGATATTATATTTACCCTAGGTGATTTTTTTGATGTTTATATACTGTTCACTGCTTTTGTTGTGGTATTACATATATAGAATTGTAAATTAGCCAGGAGGGAGAATTTCTGTACTTGACTAGAATCACTTAGGCTTAAGTGCTCAATAACCATTTAGATAAGAGATCTGTCACACAGGGAGGGCATAGTTTCCATTGGGTTGGTCAACTCCTGGACTTGCATTGCTAGAGCAGTAAACAACTATTATACAGAACTACAAAGCAAGAAGCAGAGCCTGCATACTGTATGTGACCAGCAAATCTGGCTGTCCTAAGAACATACAGTACATAGATACTATATCCACCAGGGCGTCCACCGCATCCGCCCAAGGATCCTGGGTCCTGGCCACGAACCGATCTGATCCACCCCTCCTCTGAAAAAAATCAGGAAGAAGCAGGTAAGAATACAGAGGAAAATTCTTAGCTCCTTACTCATGACGCTAGGCACAAAACTGGAGACTTGTCAGCAGGTGGGGGGTTTGGCCACCGGCAGGGGCCGCCCCTAGGCTGTAATTGGTCTTTAGTTTTTTTGTGCCTAGCGTCCTTCTCCTGCAGGTGGCGATATTACCCTACAGTACATGATCTCCGATCTGTTCCCTGTGTCCTTCAATGAACGGGAGAGAAACAAGGTTTTTAAAACATTAATAAACTAATTAGATTAAGTTGTTGTTCCTTCCACTGCCCCTTATGTAATTACAGAACGCAGCAGTGACTTTGGGGGTCAATGGATAAAAACAGGGTGTGCAGTGGGAGATCAGACATCCAACAGTTCTAGAACTGTGTCAGATGAAGACGATTCTTCAGCAAGATTAGTTCTTCAACAGAGGGAAAATTGCTGGTGCAAGCGGCAGGACAAATATTAATTCATTTCTTTTCATACATTCCTTTTTTTATTTATTTTAACAATGACATAATCACTTAATTGACAAAAGGTTCATCTCTTTTACATGAATAAGTGAAAAACTAGAGAGTAGACATTCCCTGAACTGCTGAGATAAACTTGGTTAGCCACATAAAGGGTCTATTATTTCAGTCAGGTCTAACTAACAGATTTGCACTGAGATAGAAGATCATCAAATTACAGTTAATGTATGGCACTACTAAGCAGGATGCAGAGCCTGCATATGTCATGATCAAATGGGGATGCTGCCATTTACATGTATGCGCAGCAACAACTGTAACTCCATTCACTTAAGAAATAAACATCTGGTTCTACCCCTCCCCCACTCAGCTGATAAAACAAAACTATGGCTGGAGTTTTACTTATTGATACAGTTATTGTCCTTTATGCTATTGACAGGCCCTGTATATATATATATATATTAAAAAAAAACGTAGACACCAGTGATGATATTATAACGAATCTTACTGTAATGTGTCCTTTAAGTGAAGTCTATCATCGTTCACATAAAGCTTCCAGAATGTAACAATCTACTTTGTAGACAAACCACAATCAATAAAGTACTATTTTATTTGCCAAAGAGATACTGTTCTCCGAATTCATAATTGAGAATAATTATTATAGACAGCCCTCCTGTTGATGTATCATATCACTTACATTGTTCCAGACGTGGTTGGTACTATAGGAATATCTTCTGCCTCCGTTGGGATAGACCAGGGAATCTGGAATTGTGGAGCAAGCTCCCTCATAATTATATTCCTGAGGAAAGCAAATATTAAAGTGAATTTGCCATGTTCCCAAATATCTCCTGAAAATCTAAAAATGCCAGATCAAAAAATTGTACAGCTAATGCTTTAGAAGTCCTGCTTTCTAATAAATCATAAGAGCGTAACCTTATTTTGTGTGCGTGTATTTGTGTGGGGTCATGTGAGATGACCCCTACCTTGCAGTCATTATATTTCCACGCTGTGACAGCACCTGAGTAATCTTGAGCCTCTATGACTGTCTTATGGTAATGACTCTTCTTAGCCCCACATGGCCTGCCTTCTTAAAGAAAGGGGCCATACCCTCTAGGCCAAGGCTACAGGGGAAGGCTTCTCAAAGGCCCTTTAGAACATTGCATCCCTGTTTTGTCAATACTAAATCCTACCCACTAATGATAAGCTCACCAAGGGTTAGCTAGCTGGCAAAGCAGGCAGGATTATTTGTCAGACTAACTGGGTGCAATGCTCTACAAGACAAAATGCAAAAATGAATGTAAAACAACATACAGCAAGGCAGTTAGGGAACAGATCCCTACATAAGCAAAGTGTATCAAGAGACACTTAATTTCCTAGGGTGGCATTGCTTACTCAGTTCAGCCCACAGCATTGTCGCCCTCTTCTGTAGTTAAAATACAGGCATCCATGACAATGCAAATTGCGCTGACACATTCTGCGGGAGGCACCATGGTAAAATTGTGACGTTCAGTTACTGCTGAAATACGCACACATTCACAGGAAATTCATACCAACAAAAGTGAGGGGAAATTACATAAATTGCTCTACAAAACTAGTACATATTTATAAAGCAGTGATTGTGGCATTTACCAAATATTTACTGCAGTTGTATCTTCCTGGGGCATGTGTTTTAAATTACAGTGATGGATTCACCTGCAGTGAATGGTTGGTTAACTCCAACATTTGCTGCTTTAAGATATGTTCTTTGGTAAGTTTATTGTTACAGATTAGTTCTTCTTTAACAGGACAATTTCATTCAAGTGCACGTCCAAAGACTGAAAATCGACTTTTAAGTGTACAACTTCTTTTTCAGAATTCTGTGATTAGTCTTTTGTCTTCCTTTACAGTGTAAATTAAGGGTGAGACATGAATTTGTAACTTAACAAAAGACATATAAAAATGTGTAATATAGTGGTAAAAATTATGCTATTAGAAAGCACAAAAAACAAGAATGGGAACAAATACAAACAGGGAAACCAGAGCACTTGTAACATACCCCAGTATTTTGGCACAGTCATCATAATATTTCATGGAGTTCTTCACAAAACTGAAACCATTGACATCACAAACGAATGAGTGTCCATTGGCTCTTAGCAAGTCAAAGCCGCAAACAGTTTGCTGAAACATACAAATATGAACAATTAGTCATATGCACAGGCAACAGCAACATATATTACAGCAATGTCTATACTGCACTAAAAGAAATGCTTTGTCTGAAAATAAAGTATTTTATATTTACAAATTTGAATTTGCTCAAAAGGTAAACATACATAAATGTAACTTTTCAATCTATACTTTTGATTTATAAATACATTTGAACGCAACATCTCAAAATCACAACAGGAGTCACACACACACAAAATACACATATATGTATGTGTGTGTGACTACCAAGGATGATTAAATAATATGCTATATATATATTTAAAAAAACTATTTTAATCATATCAAAATTCATAAAAGCATTTAAAATCATCTAAGCTTGCATACTGATCATACCTACACATTGTAAATTGCAGTCAGAATGTGCAATTAATCATTGTATACTGTGGGTATGAACAATATGAAATTCTAATATCGAAATAATTTTGATCCATTATAAAAGATATACAGTATATTTCTGAGTATTGGTGTTATGATAGCATATTATTAAATCTTTGGTAGTCACACAAAGTAGTCTATTTAAAACATTTGCAAGATGATGTTCGCTCTGCAAAAGTCTTACAAATAGACCCCAAAGCGGTTTTGGTCCTAATAATTTCTGTTGCAATACGCAGTGATATAAATATGTTTTTATCTGTAGCCATGAATATTACTGTGTGATGTGTACCACTATCTAAGCACTGTTGCAAGACAGAAATTCTGTGTTATCCATGTGTGGATTATTCTATTCATACATTACTTCTGTCAAATCATGTAACAGACTCAAGCATTGCCTATGGTAAAAATGTACAGTAAAGTAAAGCAGTTGAAGTAATTGTCTGACATGCTGACAGCTTCCTTTTATGATGATTTATGATGCCCCTAGGTTGCTTAAAGGGAAAATCAATACCGCGGATGTCTGCATATCAAACCCTTCAGAAAGGGTCTGCAATGGTATGTCATCCAGAATAAATGCTGTCACATTTGAAAATATAACGTGAATTTATGGAATCTAAAATCCCTATAATAATTTGGGAAAGGGTAAAAAACAGACAGAAGTAGAAGTGGGTGTATACAAATCAACTACATATCAACAAGGTCAGATCCTTAGTTTATAAAATAGATACCAACCTTAAATGCCAAGCAGACTTTCCGTGCTACGAGCTTCTCCATGGCAGTGAGCATGACAGGATAGCGGATCTCCTTGCCCTCACTATCACGCTCCACTTTCCCATCCAGAGCAGGAGACTTGCGGGCCTCTGCATGGGCATAATCTGGACCTACAGTGTATACCTAATCAATATGAATAGATTACATTTATGACATTGTAACTGAAGAAATTAGAAACTGCAAGGCAGGCAGATCCTTTAGTTTTACCTTAACATCAGTGCCATCAGTTGGCATGAACTCTTCATAAATGTAGGATCCCGTCTTGCGAACACTGCTCTCTGGGGAGTAAACACTGCTTCGACTTCCAATCTGTATTGACAAAATAAAATGAAAAACTCATCCAAACAGCGCAAGTCTAACACTTACACCATAATGTCCTGTGCCATAACACAAGCATATTGGTTATTTGAGGTGCACTGTATTTCTGTAGGTCACCACAATGCAAACCATATTTTGCAGTGCGTTGTTAAGGCTTGTTGGGGTTGACGTTCAAAAGTAACCTACGGCCTGGTTTGAATATGTCCTTACAGCACTTTACAATAGTTTGAATAAACAAGATAACAGTTCTCTTTTTTCATTTTAATGCACATAAATTAATTAGGAGTACACTGTGTGTACAACATGCCTAACTGTATACAATTTTCTTAAACAAATTGATTTTCGCAAATCTGTTGCAAATTAGCAGCAGCTTTGTTAAGTTGCCATGCAAGCTCCACAAGTTGGAAATTGGGGTACAAAGCTGCTAACCGGATTAGGGATTTGCGTGGGCTAGGTGCTAATTGAATTTATCTAAGCCCAAAAACTGTCAATAACACATCCCCCTCTTGGCCCAATGAGCTACAGTCAGGGCATCATACAGCTACATGTAACAAAGCTGCAGCTGATTGGGCTGGGGGGGGGGGGATGTATCACTGACAGTTTTGCATGGGCTCAGTTAAATCTGGGTGAACGTGAATCCTTAGAAACACATGCATCCCTAGACCTGATCGGCAGCCTAAAGGCCAACTGAGTAATAGCTCAAGGCAGACTGACAACGCTGCTGCTAATTGCGTGGAAGTGACCTAAATTTGTCAGCCTGAAACAGGAAGTGCTGCTACTGGCAGAATCTCTAGGTAAGAAACTTTGCAACAGATTTTTTTTTAAAAACCCCACACACTTTGCAATCAACAAAAAATAGTGATTAAAAAAATTTCAACAGAAGCGAATGACATACCGGTAATTTCGCCACAGCAAAGCTGAAATTAATCAAGCTCTCTAGATGAATTAAATAGAAGGTCTCTGGTTTGTGATCAGTTTAGTTACATTTAATTATGGACTGAATGATCACATTGATACGGATGTGACCACCAATATACAAAATGTCATGATTGTACAATTATCTCTAAACAATGGCTAATTAAATCATATCTTGCAACGCACCAGACAATACCACCTTAAAGTGACACTAAACTCCCAGAATTAAAACTTTAAAATACATTCAGGTACCTTAACTATTAACATAAATGTATCTTATTTGTGTATCACTCAACTGTAGATCCTCAAATCTCTGAACTGGTGGCGACACTGTCCTTCCTTCTGGAGGGTGGCCACCGCTCCAAGTTCACTTGCGCGATTGACTATAATTTCAATACAAATTGGTAAACTAAACATGAGACTGTAGTCCATTGCAGGAGTGAGCTGGAAGCAGAGGCTTTTTTACAATTCACGCAGGGACCATGGGGAACAAAAGTAGCCACCCTCCAGAAGGAAGGACAGTGTCAGCACCAATTCAGAGATGATTTGGGGATCTACAGCCGAGTGATACACAAATAAGATAAATTTTTGTTAATATTTAAGGTACTCTAATGCATTTTTAAGATTTAACTCCTGTGTTTAGTGTCGCTTTAATAGCAGTTTAGCTGCAGCCAACAGTGCTATGAATTCTTCACCGGGGTACAAAACAGAGGCCACCATTAAACAGTGATAAGTGTTATTTAGATTTGAATTGTAGGTTAAACATTAGCATTACTCTTAAATATTAAATTCAGCTATTACAGGGTATTCGCTTTAATACCCGTGCATGTAACGGGAGATACCTTTCTGAAAAGCCTTTGGCTTCCGCCTCCTGCTGACGTGGGGTAATAAATATATACGTTGTGGTCTTCTGCGCTAACTGGCTTTTCAACAAATGGCTTTGGGAAGACTTCTCCATTCACTTCTACCTGATCCTCACCTTCTATTAGATTACACTCTGAAAAAAAAAGGAGAATATTCATCTTACTTAGCGCTCAAAATGTTAGCCAATTTATAAATAAAATCTACAAACATATACATCATGTACAAACACACAATAACAATACAAGTCAATTAGATCATCTAAATAGAATACTTACAGGAAGATATGAGCATTGTGTACCTCAAAGCCCATCTCCGGGGAAAGAAACAAAATACTTTGCAGTAAAGCTACGCTCACATTGCAAGGGTTAACTTCTCATTTATGTCTAGGGGTATTTTGTAAAGGTCTTTTACTTACCTGATCCCTGCTCTTCTGGCAGCTGGCGCTCACCTCGTTTTCCCTATGCTTCGACTTCTGGACTGTCCTCACACATAATGCAGGGCTATGGGTCTTGCATTGTACGAGATGACGTTAGTGGCCCTCCAACCCCACAGGGGGGGAAGAGGCTGCGATCGCTGATCTTTGAGGCTGTGGAAGCTGGAATCAAGTAAGTTAAAAGTCCTTTGCACAATACCCCTAGACAAAAGCGAGAAGTTAAAGGAGAACTATGAGTTGAGTGATTTTCACTCAGCCTCATAGTTGGAAATGTCCTGTGACAATGAAAACTGACACAGGCCGGCTCTATAGATAGGGAAGCGAGCGAACACATACCGTCGCTCACTCACTTTCTGATCATCTCCCTACAGAGAGTGGCTCCTTGCAGGGATTCCCTCTCCCCCCCTCCGATTCTCCAGCGCTAACTGGAGAAACGGACGAGGGAGGGGGCGGGTACAGCTGGCTCTGCCACGAGATAGGCAGAGCACGCTGTTGATCACGCAGCTGGGTGGATCTCGACAGCATTGTCAGGATCCGTCCCGGCTGTGGCGATCTCGGTATATAGTGAGCAATAGCTCGCTATATACTAAGCTTTGGGTCTCGGGAGGAGGTTAGTATATGTCCTCCCGTGACCCTTAAGAGGACTATGGGATAAAAAGGTTACCTCATAGTTCTCTTTTACCCAAGCAGTGCAGGAGCAGCCCCACTGCAGGGGTAGTTTTGTTTTTCTGGAGACATGCTTTAAGTATTGCATCACATACTGTAAAATGTATTATGTAAATGTGTAAGGATTCTTAAGAACAATGTTGTCTATAAGCAGCCCACCAAAATTGCTAGACCTGATCTTGTAAGTATAAAAAGCCTGCAATGACCATATGCAAAATTAAACTTACCATCTGGCTTGTCAGGATCTCTGTTAAGTACAGCATAGCGAGGAAGATCAATTCCCTCCTGCTGCAAAATTCGGTATACTTCCCTCCTATAAGATGTGGAGTGGACAGACATTAAATAATGCGTCAGGTTTTACACAGCAATGAAGAGCTCATGCATTGTGCTACTAACCACAAAACATTATATATTTTATTAAAAATGATTTTAGGGATTCTATTGTTTTCCTGTGACTGCTCAGTGAATGAAGTAGAGTCCAGATTAAAGTAAACTGTCCTGACTAGCAGCTCACAGCACATAATAATTCTCAGCCCTTTCCAGATGCTCAATATACATGCTAACTTTCAGCCCTGGCCATCTTCTCACAGGACATGCACTATGTGGTATAAAGAGAGACTGTAACCTTCCATTTTTACTGCTGGAGGAGTCTACCACCAGCAATGAATATAGCAAGATATGCTTTCTTTCAGATCTGAACATATCTAGAGTTTAGCAATGCCTTACTGTCTTACTTACTGCTTCAGTGCACTGTGTTAAGCACATAATGTTGTGTGTTGATTTGCATTGCCAGTAGGCAGCTCATTCAGATATTAACCTGTGTTGCCATAGGGCAGCGATTCAATTGAACTGGCTGCCTAACACACCACAACTGACCTAATATCGAACCTGCTGCATTTATTTGTATTGCAGTGTGCCACAAAGCATAGCAGTGCATTACAGAGCGGTGTGGTGCAATGCAGGTGATTTCTGAAAGTGTTCTGGGGTGCCATTGAAGCTAAATGGCACAGCAGCGGACCAACGCACACACCAATGGTGTGAATGGGGCCTTAAACTTCCATGCCCATGTCCCTATCACACATTGTACCATAACACTAAATATCCTCATAGTGTTGAACTAGTTTTTGTTGCAGCTCTCCTCATACTATTTGCAATAGCTTCTAGCAACTCTCTCCCAAAGGTCTGCACTACAGTCTCTGGCATCTCACTCCCACTTCAAGACTATGCTCTCTCATATCTCCCCCAATTCCAGTGTTCACACTTAATTCTTCAACAGCTCCCCCCCACAACTGTCTAAATTGCAGTCACTGGCAGTTTCAATTACTAAAAACAAAAGTGCTCCTCTGAAATCTCTCCCAATAGATGTGTTTCGTACTAAGTCACAACCCTTTGGATTAGTTCCGCTTTTTGTCTGAGGTGTTACAGCTGGTGCAAACAACTGCACTAACTACAACTTTATACATCAGGAGAAGTAACAACAGTTCATAGAGGGGAAAAGACATACTGACCCCTTCCCCTCTTCACGAACTTCTCTCTCCATTCCTTTTCTATCCCTACCCTCTAGTCCATGACCAAATTATCCTCTGCATCCTCTCCCAGTGGAACACAATCAGCTTCCCCTCATGCCTCTGCAATAATGAATTCTCAGTCTACTTCCTCTATCTTCCATGATCAGCATGTGCTAATCTGACTTCCTCCACTATAGACAAAATCACCTTCCCCTCTTTACCCCTAACCATGCGAAGACCATCTGTAAATATTCTCCCAATGGTCTATTGCCACTATCTGCCTTCTCTCACTGCTTTCTTTCCCTAGTAATTGATCAGCTCACATTCTCTTTCCTCCCCAGTCAGCTCCTACTCTGCTATCCTTGCCTCTTCCAATATCCTAAGCTCAGCCTTTGCTGCTCTCGGGCCCTCTGCCTCCTGACATGATCACCTTTCCTTCCCCATAGTCCACAAGCAGTTGCCATTCTGCAATATTATCCATAGTAACGTATCCATAGCAAAGGCCTACAATACATTTCTGGTACTGTAAATATATGAAATCCGAACCTTTTTTCCCATATCAACCATTATTCAAAGATGAATGGTTATGGCCTATGACTTGCAGTAAAAAAGAAAAACAACAACAGCAAAACCCTTTTTTTTCACGGAAGGTGACATACAACAGCACCACTTCTCATGATGGCAGAAAAAAAAACGGGTAAGCAGAAATCAAGCTCCCCGCTTTTCATCTTGCCTGGAGAGCTAGACCACAAGCTCAGCACTGGCATAGGAACATAACTAATAAGAAGCAGGGGGCTGAAAAACCCACATTATGGATTAAGGTGTAAGTAAAGGCAAAATGGGGTTAGAAGGTTAGACCCTCTGTCAAGTTTTTATTGCTGGGTGTGCAAGGAGAAATGTGCCAAAAGCAGAACATATTAAGTTCAGATTCAGTTTTATTCAGACTCTTATATCATAGAAAGCCAAAGCGTTTTGGGGGTTCAGAGGGTCCCACTTCATTAGAGCTTGGCACTGTTGAACAAAGTGTGTACTGGTCTGATAGAATTGGAGAAATCCTGAGAGAAAATTAGTATGATCGCTGATGTGCCCTGTTAAGCCTTAAGTAATAGCCAAGCTTAATCCAGGATTTACAGGGATCTTATTCATAGAGCCACTCACAGCAACCAAATATTCTTTTCTAGCAGTTTACTGAGGTTTAAATAAGCATGACTGCTATGGTTTTCCTTGTGGTGTTCCAACTTTAAAGCTTTCACTGAATGCTGCAGCCAGCATGCCGCAGCAACATCTGCTACGCTCTATGTATACATTGCACCTGACCCATGCAGGCCGTCTCCAGACACACCGGTATGAACAGATCTAACTATTTACACAACAGTAGAAAATCATAAACAATCTAAAAATATTTCTGGTGCTTCATTTAACCGATCTGCTTCTGTTTATAATACACAAACTATTTAATTCAAGAATGTACACAATAAGCTGAACTGTAATGGCATTGAATGGTTTTTACCTATCTTGGATGTAATATTGCATATCCAAGTCATTGATGAGAAAAGGGTTACGCAGTTTTGAGTAAGCAACAGCTTTATCGAGTGGAAATCCTAGAAGGAATCAATTCAGAAGAGAAAGATAAATAAGTATGTACCATCAGTATGGCAACGTTTTTTACAACCGGGCATAAAAATACTGTGGGGGGGAATTTATCAAAACTGGGACAGAATCCAGTGCAGTTGACAAGGGCAACCAATCAGATTCTCTCTTGCTTGTTCAGTTAAGATTTAAAAATGAAAGAGAGAAGCTGATTGGTTGCCATGAACAACTGCTCCAGATTTTCTCTGCTCCAGTTTTGATAATTCCCCTCAATGAGGGGAATTTATCAAAACTGGAGCAGCTGTGCACGGCAACCAATCAGCTTCTCTCTTTCATTTCCATATCTCAACTGAACAAACTGAACAGAGAAGCTGATTGGTTGCCATGGGCAACTGCTTCAGATTCTGTCTGCTCCAGTTACATGAGTTGTCAGTTTTTGAGATGGTAAACAACAAGAAAATTTACTTTTTTTTGTTCTTTTCTACATGAAATGCAAACTATAACCAATGAACTCCAGTAAGCCGTATTTACACCTGGGGCCCCTGAGGAACCCAAGATACTTCTGAACAGACAAATGAGTAGCAGGGACTTTATATGTTATGCTTGCTCAAATGATTTTAAAGCAAACCTTTACCCCGTTACTAAAAACCTGCATTCTGATATTACATTTTGTTACATTCATTAGTTTAAAAAAACAACTACAAAATTACTTGTTTTCCAGTTCCTGTTTGACTGAGGCACTGGTGATGTAGGTCTGGCCTCCCCAATGCATCCTGGGAAGGCTAAATCACCTGAGCCTTCCTGGGAAATCTGCAAAATCTTGTGAGATCTCAGGGGGAAAGTCATGATGGGCACTGTCACATGTTCCAGGAGCCAGACCCAGAGTTTCGTGAAGTAAAGGGAGATGGATTTATCTGCCCTTAGTGAAAATGGCCACTCTGAGAAGAATTGGGAGTAGAAAAAAAATTCGGTATGCGAATAAAAAGCCTGAAAATTATATACAGACATTCCTCGGTTACCAACTTACCTGCTTTGCGACCACTCGCACTTACGACGGGCCACCGATCGACCTCCAACCTTGCACGTCAGCGCGACGTGTTGCCGGCGGAAGTGATGTCCTCCGATCTTCACTGCGGGTCCCGGTAAGTATTTTCATTGCCCGATGTACAGTACACTGTTCGGTACTGTACATCTGCAATGCTATACAGTACTGTACTAATGCAGTACAGTACTGTATAGAGGTCCTCACTTAACAACCAATTCGTTTAACGACCTGGTCGTAGGAACGGAACTCGGTCGTTAAGTGAGGAATACATGTATATCGATATCTATATATACACACATACTGTATGTTTGTAGATTACCATTACTAAAAGGTGCCTTTGTTGTTATTTTTAAGATAAGGGTGAAATTCCTCTTTAAATTTTAAATAAACCTGTGTACACTGTGACGTTGGGGAGCTCACAGAGCACTCGCACAGACTTTTCCTTTAACCAAAAGTCTTTATTATTCTTCCGTAACATAAAAGAGCTTTAATTCAGCAACATACAGTCCGCTTATGTTTCAGCCAGTAAGTAATATTACAATGCCTCACCAACTTAGGATTGTCACCTATCCTGCATGTGACTCTAACACACATCCCTTGGGACACCCAGGCTCACTAAGCCTGCTCGGCTGATTCCCAGGTGCCTCCAGCACACACACACACACAGCCTCCTGGCTCCACTCTGGCTTCTGGGTGGAGTCCGCCTGACTCCTGGACACAACCTGCCCCTCTTCCCAGCAGGAACCCTCACGTGCCTGCATCCCACACCACACCAACTCTTCCTATCTGTCCAGTCTCTTAAAATGGCTGTTATCAGCCATATTTCATCCCACCCAAGACTCTTCGAAATCTCCAAAGACCCAGATCCCAGTTATATTACAGAAAACCCGGAAAGAACTGAACACCCAGCTCCTTCCCTGTAACGCTATATGTTTTCTGGACTCTCTCAGCCCCTCTGGCCAAGAGTCCTGGGCGCCAAACATACCAGTCACCATAGTGATACGGCACTGTCCTGTCACAACACAGAGGTTATTTGACCCGTGTCTCCTATTTCAATTTTTCAACATAGAGAAACCAGCTTCTTATGCATAGATAAATGTGCTGCGCACACTGCTGTCAGGTTAATGAAGTCCAAAAAAATTCTGCATGATCTGCATTCTCTCATGAGAGCAACAGAAACGGCATGTCATGTGTGTTACGTCTTAGCCGGTCTCTCCTCTACCTTTCAAAATAAACATGACCTAGGCGAGACGGGTCAGATGTCATCCACATGCACAAACCAAAAGATGTAAAGAAAGAGCAGAAAAGTGTTTTATGTCCATTGAAATCTCTTCTGTAAAAATACACAAAGGTGAATAAGCAACAAGGACTCTCTGGAGAACATATAGTCAAAGTATCGCAGCGCTGAATACTGAAAAATGGCCTGGCCAGGAAGGGGGTCTAAACACCTGGTCTTGAAGTGGTTAAAATAGAAAAAAGAGATTGAGGACACAGTCTCAGGCTGGGTTCACACCTAGGCGTATTGAATATGCGCGTTTGTCGCGCGTTTGTACAAACGCGCGTTTCCAAGGGCTACTTGGCTGTATCCCTATGGAAACGCCCGACCAAAACGCCCCAAAAGAAGTACATGTACTTCTTTGGGCGTAGGGCGGTTTCCCGCGCGTTCGTACTCGCGGAAAAACGCCCAGATGGGAACCATGCACATTGAAAATAATGGCATTTCCCTGTTTGAGCGTTTTTCCGCGAGTACGAACGCGCGGAAACCGCGCCCAGGTGGGAACCGGACCTTAATCTTTTTCTGCAGCCCCCTTTGTTTGGAATTCCACCAAAAAAATTGCTGTGGGCTTCCTGGTTTGTGGGGTTGCCTAGGTAGTCCTGTGTTCCTGTACAGCCTCATAGCTGAATATCTGCAGTGTACGAATAAGACACTTCTGTCTCTGACTGCTAGTTTCAAGAGATTTAGAGTGAAACTTAGTGCTGTCACTATGTGCTGCTTACTATTCTTAGCTGGAGGCTGTGACATAGAGAAGCAAAGCCTTGCCTCTACCAAGATGGCCGCCTCCACACAGATGCAGTGCAGAGAACCAGGAATGGTAAGCAAGTAGTGAGCGAAAGATCACCTGCAGGGAGACCACAGGCAATACTGTGGCGCGGCTGTGCGGCTTTCACATTTTCTGCAGAAGACGTGTATCCAAACCTCTGTTTTAACCTCAGTGTGAGACAAGTTTTTTTACATGCTAGCTTGTGAGTGTGCCAGGAAAACTTTTTGCTGTATTACTGTTTAAAGCCCATTCTGTGTGCACCTTGCTGTAAAGCTGGAGACGAATTGATGAGTGCGTTTGTCATCTGTTTTGCTTGACTGCTTTGGTGCAGTGATACATGGGGGGTCTCAGCTGCCATTGGGATGTGCAGGATCCCTTGTGCGTCTCTGTGCCTTTAAGGTGGGTTGGGCGTCCTCCTGACAAACCTGCACCCAATTTCATCTTCTGCCCCATGTGTTGCAAGATGGAGTCTGATAGTTTAGAGTTAAGACCGCACTATAAGAGGTGCCTTGGCGCGGCTGTGCGGCTTTCACATTTTCTGCAGAAGACGTGTATCCAAACCTCTGTTTTAACCTCAGTGTGAGACAAGTTTTTTTACATGCTAGCTTGTGAGTGTGCCAGGAAAACTTTTTGCTGTTTCACAGGCAATACTGGTGACAACTCCTTTGACCTCTGCTTGCCCAGGGCATAGCATCCTGAGTTCAGTTCCTCTTTAAGCCATATATTACTAGGCAATGTTCCATGGATCTTATGATTTTGGAGCTATTATATTACAGCCGAGAACCTATTGCAGCAGAGAAATCAACAGTATAGGAGATCCAGGGGGTTGTAAAATATTGACCAATGCAATTTTATTGTTCCCTGCTTAGACAAGGCATGGCAAAACCATACTTTACTGCTAATGGAGAGTAAGGAGTACAGTGAATGGCTGATACACAACAAATACTAGAAATGCTTGTCTGATAAAGTGGAATTTGCATCATTGTTTGATCAGTTAAAAAAAATCTGGCACACTTTCTGATTTTACTACATACTGGATTCAATATAATTCGTTCAAATAAAAGTCACTGCTACCTGCAGTACATGAATGCACCACACATATCATTAAGAGATAATAATGATAATATTAATTCCTACAAATGACTATCTATACCACATATATAATGCCACAGTTTAATAGTGAATAGTAAAGGCTGTTGCTAAATATTTTTCATTACAATTTCATTCATTCAACTCACGAGCAGGAAGAAAGCATTTCATTTTTGAAAAGGCTGGTTTATCTTTGAAGTTGCACTGAATGAGCTCAGAAGAAGCTGTCACGTGCAGTGACAACATGACATTGGCTGTTAGAAAAAGGACAGGGAGAGGATTGTTACCTTTAGAATGGAAAGAAATAAGACAGTCACAAATGGGCCAGTTCTCTACAGGTTCATTCAGGATGATATCTTCGGACATAATGACTACAGTGATGTAATCAAACTTGCACAGGCGCTCCAAGATCTGTGTCATGGGCTTAGACTTGGACTTTTTGGTCATGGCACAAATTCCCACCACAATCTGACGTTCAGGAGGCTAGAATAAAAACAGACAGTTTTTTATTTATCATTAAAAAAAAATATTCATTTTTGAAAGTGTAAACAATGAGAAAATATAAACCCAATAGAGGATTTATATCTTATACCGCAAATGTCTGGGGTCATCATATGTACAGACAATGCTAAAGAATACAAATGCACATCACAGATACAATAGTGTACAAATAGGGATGTTGGTCAGCAGATGACAATTAAGATGTTTAGCCTTTTATTCCTACACCTAGGGCTCTGTAAACTCATATGGGAAGAACCCAGTCTCCCTTGTTGTGCCTATTTACTATAGTTTCTGTGAATGTTTGTCAGGTGTAAACATTTAAGAGTGTATCCTTCTATATTGCAGAGAATAATAATAAATAATAACAACAACGTTCATAAAAATTACAAAATAATGTGTCTGATTTGTCATGATTATTTATCATTTATCTATTTTCAGCAAACACCATGGCATGACTAAGGCCTCAAGGCTTCAGTGGAGAAAATATTGCAAATGTAAAAGACCCGCAAACACAGTTATATCTAATGCGTGTATGATATAAGAGAAAAAACATGCTACAAGAATAAGTAAAAGGTTGTTTGTCACTGGCAGCTGGTTTCCCACAAGGTCTCCCAAAAAAATTCTAAATCTACAACTAGGTCATAACAATTGCAAAAGTTACATAAGAAAACAAAGTAGAAGGAAAATTAGCACAAAGAAAGCTGAATTCTGTGCAATAAAATAAAAATGCTGCCCAATCCCCCAAAAATATATACATACCGTGTTTCCCCGAAAGTAAGACATACCCCGAAAGTAAGACATACCCCGAAAGTAAGACATACCCCGAAAGTAAGACATACCCCGAAAGTAAGACATACCCCGAAAGTAAGACATACCCCGAAAGTAAGACATACCCCGAAAGTAAGACATACCCCGAAAGTAAGACATACCCCGAAAGTAAGACATACCCCGAAAGTAAGACATACCCCGAAAGTAAGACATACCCCGAAAGTAAGACATACCCCGAAAGTAAGACATACCCCGAAAGTAAGACATACCCCGAAAGTAAGACATCCCCCGAAAATAAGACCTAGTGTCTTATTTCGTGCAAAAAAAAAATAAGACACTGTCTTATTTTCGGGGAAACACGGTAGGTGTGTTTTGGGGTTTTAGTTTAAATTCAGAGTAGAATTTTTTTTACCTGCATATTTCTGTATATATTACCAGAATCCCTGAAGATCTTCAGCACACTGTGGATGCCGTGGGAGAGGTAAATCAGAAAGTGCTCCCATCTACAGCAAATAAGTGAAGCTGGGTGGGGAAAGACGGATGTGCTTAACTTAAAGTGACACTAAACTCAGAAGTTAAACCTTAAAAATGCATTCAAGTATCTTAACTATTAACAAAAATGTATCTTATTTGTATATCACTCGGCTGTAGATCCTCAAATCATCTCTGAATTCATACTGACACTGTCCTCCCTTCTGGGGGGTGGCTACTATTGTTCCCCATGGTCCCTGTGTGTGATGTAAAGTAACCATCGCTCCAAGGTCACTCCTGTGATGGACTACAATCTCACGTTTAGTTTACTAATTTGTATTGAGATTGTATTCCATCACGGGAGCGAGCTTGGAGCGGTGACTACTTTACAACACCCACAGGGGCCATGGGGAACAAAAGTAGCCATCCTCCAGAAGGAAGGACAGTGTCAGCATGAATTCAGAGATGATTTGAGGATCTACAGCCAAATGATACACACAAAAAATACATTTGTGTTAATAGTTAAGGTACTTGAATGCATTTAAGATTTAACTCCTGAGTTTAGTGTCACTTTAAAGGAAACTCTTGCACTAGGTAGTGATGATGTACTGACCTCAGCACTTCCTGGAGAAAGCTGAGAAGCAGGGCAAGTAGCAGGTCGGTCACCCAGCACATTTGCAAGCTGCAGTAGTGACTGGATGCCATAACAGGAAATGGCTTAGGAGAAGTTGATCTCAAAGCTAAACATTTTCACCTTTTGCCATAAAAAACATTTGCATTGGGACACTTACGTGGGGACACCTTGCATGTATCGTGCTTTATTCTTTTGTGCACAGAGTGCAGCTTTAATTTTACTAACCTTCCAGAAAGCCTTCATTTATTTTGTTTTCCTGTATGCACAAACATGTCCATAGACTGATTTAAATGAGCAAACAGGCAAATATTCGATTGTCTCACTGATGCACATTAATACTGTTAATCTGAGTAATTCAATGGCATAGAGGTGATGTGGTTATTGAGATTTATTGAGCCAGTAAGTACAACTGTTTGTATCCATGTTACATTTTATGCTATGTGGTATAAATGTCTACAGAAACGTGGGCCGCTTCCTGTGCCATTGTGTGTCTCCTTGTTGATGTGGTCGCTCACTTGACAAGACAAATGAAATGCATTTGTGGTGAAGTATGTTGGAGCGCTCTGATGAGAAAGCATGTCAAATATGACGCAGCAGGTTTTTTTTTTAAATGTTGCGTTTATTGGCCAAACAATAATCAGACAGAAACTCAGTGGCTTTTTTAAAATAGTAAATGACAGCAACAGGAGTGGGCTGTCGTATAAAGGTACCCAGACATATAAGATGATTAAGATCCAGTGCAGACAAACAATCAGTTCAGCTCACCAAGTATGGGACACGCCTGATCAGTACAGACACCTCAAGACCAACAAAGCTATATTGTTCCTCCAAGATAAGAAAGGCCAGGGTGTCTGCGCACTAAGTAAACATGTTTGCTTGGTAGTAGTGAGTAAGCCTGATTATGTATGCATATCAGTGCTCTTCCAAAGATTAAAATTAGAATTAGTGTATACAATTCTGACAGAGTAATCAGAATTTCACATGGATTGTACACAGACAATCCATGTGAGAGCTCCGCTCCATATACCTGTAATGTGTAACCTTTACCTGTAATGACAAATCCATTTTATCTCGAAGGAGTCGTCTATTACCCAGTGTGGAAGCCAACGACTGTAACATCTCTTATAACACAAAAATATGTGCCAAGTGTCTTAAAAAGTCCTGGGAAGTCCTTGAGCTATGTTGTATGAATGTAACACTCAAGCAGTCACCCCAAGCAGCTCTCTAGTAGAAAATCCCTAGACTGGCACATTGCTAACAATTTAATCTGTCAACACTAGTCTTGTTCTTCTTTTGAAATGGTAAACCAGAGGCCAAAGTCCAATATTTCTGCTTAATCCATCTGTTTTGTTATCTAACATGCCAGTGAAACCAACACATGGTATTTCTAATCTACATAAAGGAGTCTTTAATTTAGATGAAAGCAATCAATCTGCTAGATTACATTTCTGAAGTGGCCAAATGCTCCTCCACAGGGATGGAGTACAAATATAATCTTACGTAAAGTAAAGTGCATCTATAACCAAAACGTATTTTTGTAGTTTTGGATAGAATGGAGAAAGGTTAGAACCCCTATCAGGTTTTACTGCAATCCGGGGCTCCATTAGAGAGATTTCCCATTACTTTCCATTCTGGGGACAATGTTTTACGAGACTGAAAGTGAGGTAAAATACTTAAAGCTGAACTCTGGGATAGTTCTAAATGTGTTGCCCTTTACTTACTGACCCCAAGTACATTAACAATGTGCATTTGGTGACCATTATCACTGAACGTGAAAGAAAACCCCCAAATTTTGGGTTGTCAGAACAGAAATAGAGGAATCTTCCAATGAGGACACTAGTTCTGGTGACCCTACTGACCACCAGGGATTTCCCTTTATTTGGAGGGATTGACTCTCACTTCCTCTTGTGGCCTTAGGACAGGAAGTGAAGCAAAATTTCCACAAAATTTCCAGTGACAAAAAAAGCTGACAGGGTTATAACTAGGGATGCACTGATACCGATGCTGATATCGGTATCAGTGCCGATACTGACAATTTGGGCGAGTACTTATTCTGACCCTCACCCAAATTTTCCAATACTTACCCCGATACCAGAAATGCCGGTCAGAGGGGATTCCCTCTGACCAGCAGTGTCGCGAGGGAGCATGGAGCCAGCTTCCTGATTGGCTGACAAGCCGGCTTTACACTGCCTAGCGTAACTGGCAGTGTCATGAGGGTGCGTGAAGCCTGCTTTCCAGGCAATCAGGAAGCCAGGCGGTGGGTCATGACCTGCCACCCAGCTTCCTGATTGGCCGGGAAGCCGGGCCTATGCTACCTCGGGATGCCGGAAACAGTACATAGTATCGGTACTTGTACTCGATACTGAAAAACCAGTATCGGTGCATCCCTAGTTATAACCCTCCCTTACTCCATCAAAAACTAAAAAAAAAATATATTTGTTTCTGTTCTACTTTAAGTATTTGATGCCATTGCTAGCACACAAAAACAAACTTATGACTGGGCACCCAGTGGAGGAATCAAGGAAGTGTAAGAGAACATTTTTCTTCAGTGTGGAACAACTATAATTCCTGTCATCCAATGGGAACTGTAGAGAATGACCGTAAATGTAGGTAGGTGTTTTGGGTCAACAAGAGTAAATAGTACCGACCAGGATTCTCGTAGACCGTTAGTCATGGTGATAAATAATGGTGGGCAGGACAGACTAGGAGTCTGAGAATTCCAGGTCCTCCCACTACAGCCAGCAGCGATATCATTACATTGCCACTAGTAAACAACTACAATGGCATTGGGCATGTTAAAAGACCAGTGGGCGGGGAAGGAATGGACACTCCAACCTCAGTCTTATAATCAGAAAAGAAAGAACACAGAGGATAATGTTGCACGATTCAAAATGTTATGTTGCTTTGGCTGCAGGATATTATTCACAACAAATAACATATCTGTTAAAGGAGAACTATGGGGTTCTACTTTTTCTTTATTATTGCATTCCTTAGGCTAAAGGAGTAAATAGTGTAATTTACTCCTATAAGCCAAAATGCACCCTAAGCCTGTAAACCCTTCTTTAACATGCTGGGCGGGGCTAAGTGCCGCAATGTGGGGAGATCCCGA